AGAAAGAAAGAAAGAAAGAAAGAAAGAAAGAAAGAAAGAAAGAAAGACAGTAAAAGAAAAACTGGCTTTCCGAACGAGAAATAGGTTAGAGAAATAATTTCTCGTGTCAGATAATGTAAAGTCAAACTGTTTAACCCGATCGGCTAGCTAAAACAAGACCTGAACTGCCTGGAAACTCACTCCAGTTTGCTACTTTCGGACTCACGGACTCTGGCAACGACACCCTTGCGGCAAAGGCAGGTTTCAAAACCGTCCCCACCGGCCTCAGGCTAGCCGCTCCAGGGGAATGGAAGGCCAGCAGAATTCAGGATGCCAAGAGAAGAGAAAGCACCCCAAAGTAGGGGGAATCCCAAGGTCTGGAGATGGTCCCCATCATGTCCCAGATAACTCCTAGAAGTTTAAATGTTTTTATGGTTTTTTGCTTTGTTTTGTTTTGTTTCTCTTTCTTTTCCATTCCTTTTCTTTTGCCCCTCCTGTCTTCCCTTCCCGGTTTTGCTAATCTTCAACGAAACCTTTACGCACAGAATTATTTCGCCCCGAGGAGCAAGCCTTATGTCTACCTCCGAAAGAAAGCTGATTCTGGGGCACTGCCTGGCCCCCCTCCCCCGCCACGCCACTCCCCCACACACACTCATTTATTTGGGCCGGGCCACCCCACCAGTCGCCTTTCAAATCTAGCAGGAACACAGCAGCCAATTGGGCAGGGGGCGGGGGCTCTGTAGCTGAAACAGGGGACTTGGTGGCGCTTGGCTTGGGGGGGGGGCACCGCAGACCTGGGCCTGGTCGCGTGTCGCCATACACCTTTGGCCTGCAAACTTAAGCTCATTACCTTGTCATTTTACGAAGCTTCTCTCTGTTTCAACGTCGATTCAGAAAGGAGAGAAAATACGCCCGCAATTTCTGTCTTAATGAATTTTAGATTTAAAAATATTAGACTGAGGCTATAATTCACCGGAAAGTTACTTATTTGCAAGGATGTAAGTTCGATTCCCACGCACTCCAAAAAGAGAAGAAAATACACGTGTATAAATAAAGCCTTGCCGATTATACCACATTTCTTACTATCCACCCAACGATACAGGTTACCTTGGCTCTCTCCATTCTCCCCAGTGTCCCAGTAAAAGGGTGGACTGTGTCCCCACATGGAACACCAGCAACCAACCAGGATACTCTGATGCTTGCCTTTCCTTTCATCCCTCTCTCCCTTCCGATGCTTCCTTCTTTTTCCTTTCTTTTAATCCCGCTTCTTCCCTTTCCTTCTTTATTTTTAATTTCACATAAACAAACAAAACCGCTCCAGACGTGATCAGGTGGCGGTGGAAGAGCGAAGGTCTCCCCAATTCCTGGTGTAGGTCCCCCTCCCACTTGGCCTCGGGCGGTGGGAATCAAGCCACACAAGGGACCCCGCCCGGTGAGCGCCCAGTCCTAGGCGACCCCTACCCACGGCCGGCCTCTGACTCAACGCCGAGGTGGGCTCGCAGCTGCCCAAAAGGTCATCGCGGTGGTACCCCTCTCTGTGCGCTGTTTACGTGACTTAATGTACTTCTTACGCGGCGGTAAGTCGCGGTGGCGATAAGGTGGGGAGCCAGGGAGCAACGCCGTAAAAGCCCCACGCTGGGCTCCTGCGGCCCACCCTCAGCCATTAACCTTTTTACTTTCTTCTTCCCTCTCTCTTAAAGCTTGTTATCTGGGCCACCCAATGACCGACGAAAGATCTTCCCTCCCCACGTCTCCCATCGCAGTTTTAAACCAAATAAATTTAGCTATTAAGGCCCGAGACGTCTGACAAAAGATCGAAAGGTGTCTCTCTGGGATCGCTTAAAGAAGCCAAGAAGCTGGCGACTCTCAGAATCCCGATAAAGAAATTCCAGCCGGCGCCGACCTCCCTCCCCAGCCTGCTTACACCCAACACCCTGAGATCAGGACCTCAGAGGGCCACTGGGACGTGTGGCTACAGCTGAGGCAATGTCTAGGGTCCCGAGCCTAGGGTTGTTAGACTTTGGGAGCGGGCACTGAGGTCCCTGGAGCAGCGAGACCTGAAACATCTCCTGCCAAGCTTGCAGAAGCACCAAGGCCAAGGAAACCCGAAGTGGCTTTACATTTGCTTTTTTCCCCTTTTCCTTTGAGACAAAGTCTCTCATTATGCATGGCAGGCTAGCCTCAAACTCATGATCCTCGAGTCTCAGGTCTGTGCAGTATTGGGATTAGAAATGTAGCCTTGTCCTGCCGTTTTTATTGTTTGCTAATACTGAGTAATAAAGACAAAACCCAATCATACTGGTCTACCTTCCCCACGGTTCACTTTAGGAGCAGAGAAGCAAACCTCCTGTCCTGGGGTGGTGAGCAGAGCCGATCCCCTGGTAGAAATGGTGGTGGATCTGCACCCTGGGACAGAACCCAGGAAGGGTGTAGACTTTCCGAGGTTGGTTTGATCAAATTAAGTATTTGGAGTCATGACTAATTACGACCCAGCACGGTTAAAGCCCAAGGCTACGTGCTAGCCAAAACCACCACTTCCCTCTCTGAGGGTGAAGCCAGCAGGACTCAGGCAAGCACTGGGAGCGCATAGCTGGGATGGTAGACAATGTTTCCATGTTTTCTGGTTCTTTGAAATAGGCAGGGCAGAGAGGTTGGGGGTGGGGACGAGGCACAGCTGAGGTCCTTTGGGGTCCCAGTAGGCATGAACAGATCTTGTCTGCACCCCAGCCTGCTCTCTGGCAGATACTGGACTCATTCATTCTGTGATCACCTTATGCTGGGGTGTGAACTTACAGGCACCCCTTTTCCTCTTTCCTCTTTTCCTTCCCAAACCCAGTCTCTGGAAAGGGAGACAAAAAAGACTTGGAAAGAAAAGAGAAGTTCTACTTCCAAGAGACATAAATTTCCAGCCTCATGGGATGAGCTAGACATGAGGTCTCCTTGGTTGTGACTGGCATCCTGGACATGTAGGCCCTATGAATTCTGGGATCTGGATTCCACTGCTTTGAGTCCCTCCTCCCTGTTGAGTAGCATGTACCCTTTTATTTTTTTTTTCCCTAAGGCCAGGAAGGGATTGAGAAAGAGAAGTAGGAAAAAAAATGAGTTTTTGAGAGATTTGCTAAATTATAAATGCCATCCTCGAGTCAGTGAGAGGGAGTGACCAAGAGAAGTTACTACTCAGAAATATGACCTCTCCATTCAGTTATGTCGCAAGTATGCGGAGAATGAGGACCAAAGGGTTTGACTACCACTGTGCAGCCCTCTGGTTTCCTGCCACTTGCCAAAAGAACACCTCCCGAGTATGTATGGCAGAGAGGAAAAACAGAAGAGGCAGCTCCGAGCTCGCAAGTGTTTACACTCTAACAGGTTGGCAGCTCATGTCTTTCTCTGAAAGGGCACACTCAGCTTGCAGACATCCTCCAATAGGCAAATGTTCTCTAGCTCGTCCACTTAGGGAATCCGCAGAGCTCCTCTGGGCCAGCCCAGGACTTGGGGCTACCGTGCCAGATCCTAATACTCACCACCATCTGTTTTCTGTGTGATGAGGGCAAACAACCCTACTTCTCCATTCCAGCTCCCTCATCTGTAAAATAAAGCTTAGAAAACCCAGGGTGTGCTGTATTCACCACCGTGATCAGAGGCTGAGTCAGGGGAACTAGGAGTCTCGGGCCAGCCAAGGCTGCACAATAAGACCCAGCCTCAAAATAAATAAATAAATAGCAAAAACAAACAAACAAAAAAACATTGGGGGGGGGGCTGAGGACTCAAATGGCAAAGGCGCTTGCTGCCCATATGACCTAGTGTGTTTCATTGAGACACACCACGGAAAGACACTCAACTCCCACAACCTCCCCCCCCCCCGACCTCCACTTATGTGGGCACATACACACACAAATGTGATTTTTAAAAATTAAGGAAAAGATAGAAGGAAGAAGGAAAGAAGAAGAGGGAGGGAGAAGCAGAGGGAGAAACCCCCTCTTTTTGAGGTCACTGGAGGCTAAAAGCTTCAGCAGTAATACTGGTTCCTGGTGAGTTCTATGAATTCTTACAAACACCCTCATATACAGCGCCAAATTTCAACTTCATATGTGACCTAACTGCCCCTGGACTAAATAAACTCGCAGAAAAGCACTCCTGCTTGACTTTGGGAGCTCTGTATCCCAGCACCAGGGCTTTCATTTATTGCATTATGGTAGGAAGAGGGCGAGGGGTGAGACAAACATGGGGCCTTTGCTAGCTTTGGGGCCTTTGAAGAGGAGACATTCTTCGATCCCCCCCCTTTCAAAAGCCAGCAGCAGACTCCAGCATCTCCTGCAGGACCAAGATAGCAATCTTGAGGCTTCTCAAAAAAGAATCCCAGCCTCCTCAGCAGCCCTCCCTGCCAGCTCCTCTCAGGAGAGAGATAGAAGTGAATTAGTCCCAGCCATTAAGAAAGGCAGAGGAGACCGGTGGAGACATTGGGGGCCAGAGTGACTCTCAAGTTTTATATTTCAGTTTAGTATTGTAGGAGATTTAACCCACTTTAATTTTTCGTTGTTTTGTGGATTTCTTCCCCTTTCTTTTCTTTATTTTAGTGCGGGAGACAGAACCCGGGGCCTCATGAATGCCAAGGCAAGCAGGAGCTATGCTAGTCCTGGGAGCACATGGTCCATCACAGAGCACTGTAGACATCTTCAGCCTTCTGTTCTTTCTAGTCCTCCTCTTCTTCCTCCTTCCACTGTGTGCTCCAACCCTCAACAAAGCACACTGTCCTGTAGCTAAGACAGTGGAAGAGACGCATCCTCCACAAAGCAGAGCCAGGGTGGGTGTGAAAGCCTTTCTCTCCTCTGCACCAACGCTTGGTCCCATTTCGACCCAGAGACTGTTTTCCTCTGGTCTTCCACAGTCCTGATCTCCATTTGATTTACTGAGTGCTGTCATTTCTTCGCTCTTTACTTTCACAATCACACATTCAAACCTGATAAAGTTCAAGACCCTGAGTGCTTGCAGCTTCCCAAGATTGACAGTCCTCCTGCCCTCCACCCCAGTCCGTCAGCCGAGGCTGATTGAATCCTCATGGACAGAAGCCTCCAGGGATCAGAAGAGCAGTTAGTCCTAGAGGGCCAGGAAATGCTAGTGGTCCCTGCCACCTCTGCTATCCCAGCAAACCTCAGTCCCTTCTGGCCATGAGACAGATTGTTGAAGGAAGTGAAAGGCCTGAGCTTGCTGCGTGCAGAATGAGCTGAGATGAGAGGCAGAACCCTAAGCAGCTGGAAGCAGAGCTGGATTTTTAAATGTACTAAACAGCAATGGAATCAAGGTCAAGACACTTAACCTCAAAGTGCCTCAGTTGCTCCATCCATAAAATGGTAAAAATATTGCTTTGCACCAACATTCATCACAGACTAATGACCAGGGTCCTACTTGCCGCATGCTTTCTTTTAAACTCCGTGGAGATGGCATGCATATCTGGCCTGGCTCTTTGGTTCTTGTCAGGTTCAATACAAATTTAGACGTTAATCTAAATACTACACTAGTAGGCTAAACAAAAGGAATGATTCATTTCCAAAGGCTTAACAGTTAACTTAGACGTGAGTTCCCAGATCACAGAACTGTCTTCTGAAGGAAGATACTTTTTTTTTTTTTCGAGACAGGGTTTCTCTGTAGCTTTGGAGTCTGTTCTGGAACTCACTCTGTGTCTACGAGATCAAGCTGGTCTCGAACTCACAGAGATCTGACTGCCTCTGCCTCCCGAGTGCTGGAATTAAAGGCGTGCGCCACCATCACCCAGAAGATACTTTCTAAATACTTTATTTTCTTCCTTTAAATGTAAGTGAGCAAAACCAAAGAATACAGACTGAATGTGACCCCGAGGATAGAAGCCTTCATTCTTAGTGAACGTGACCCCGAGGATGGAGCCTTCACTCTTAAGTGAACGTGACCCCGAGGATGGAGCCTTCACTCATAGAGAGAACACCGTGGCGCTGGTGCAGTTACCAAGCACTTATTTATTGCCCAAATTAACGTTTTCATTTATCTTAGATTAGCAGAGTTTGCTGGGGTGGGGGAGCAGCTCAGTGGCAGAGTACATCCCTAGCACACTCAAGGCTCTGGGTTTGACACCTACCACTAACCAACGACCAAACAAATAAATACATCTAACTGAGGTAAAGTAATTAAGGTAGCGGTGACTCACATGAGCAGCTGCCAGTCTGAGTGTGCTCGCCTTGGAGACCAGAGAGGGGAGAAGGCTGACAGACAGTGCTGTGGCTTGGTGGCTCTAGCCCCAAAGAGCTCACACAATCTGAAATTTTTTCAGTCTTTCTAAAGAAAATGATGTCAAGTCAGGTGGTGGTGGTGCACTCCTTTAATCCCAGCACTCAGGGATCTCCGTGAGTTCAAGGCCAGCCTGGTCTACAAGAGCTAGTTCCAGGACAGACTCCAAAGCTACAGAGAAATCCTGTCTCGAAAAACCAAAAACGTTTGGCATACAAGCAGCTGTGGAAGTGGCTGGGTGGTTAGAAAGGGGCCTATAAAGAGCATCTGAAGGTGATAAAGCTCACAACAATCAACTCGAAGGCTGGCAGCCTAGACTCCAGAGGCACAGTTTGCTTTCTCTCGCAGTGGTCCTTATGCAAATTCTTTTCTATCACTGCTTCTCATCTTCAGCTGCACAAAAGTGATAATCAGAGCAGTGTCTTCTATACCTGGTAGGCTGCTTGAATTGTTTTGGCAAGAAAAACGAGAAACTTCTATTTTTGGGTATTTATCAGGGACGGAAGTGAGGAAAGGGGGATATCGAGGGCTGAGACTTGAGAGAGGGAAATTGATCAAAGGCATAAAGAGAAGACCTGAGACAAGGCCTTTGAGAAGATGAAATTTAGCCTACTGGGGATCACAGAAGGCCATAAAGAACCTGAGTATGTTGACGAAGTCTGAGGAGGAGTGTTTGAGGTCAACCTGAACTACATAACACACAAAACCAAAAATCCCCACTCAATGGGCAATGGTGATGGCTCAATGAGTAAAGGTGGCTGTACCGAGTTGAATGCATTAGTTGCTGTTGTCTAAGGAAGCAGAACTAATAGAATGAAGACAGATATGCAGATGCATATGTACTATATTATGTATTAGATTGACTTACACAGATGGCTGAGTAGTCCAACAGTAGATGCGTCACCCTGGAGAACAGGTAATAGTTCACAGCGCTGGATGTCCACAGTCCCAACCTGGCACCACAGACATGGAGGATTCCTGCAGAACTGTTGGTCCAAAGTGTACATCGGAAGCCCAAAAGAGGCAGCTCTAATATCAACAAA